TTCTTTTTCTCTCTTTCTTTTTTTCTATCTTCTTATGCACACCAATGAAGGTAAGGTGGAACTGTATGTACCCGACCTGTTTGCACACCGATGGGCCTGAACACGAACTGCTTTTTTACTCCGCCCATGTCGAAGAAGTGACTGTGTCTTATGTTCCATGCCAAAGAGGCGATTGGATCTTAAGTTGCCCATGTCGAAGAGGCGACTGGGTCTTATTCATGTTTAGCGCCAAGGTCTCTATTTGTTCGACATCGTGGCCCTTGGACTCTAGGAGCGACTCATAGTCCACTCCCCATAATATCATTTAGCCGACGTGCGGCCTGACCTTTCTGCCTAAGCAGGTGGTAGTAACTTCTCATATGGCTACTTTTACGTCATCCTGTGGGATTATCTTCTTGGGTGAGTGCTTGCGAGACCACAACGCACATGTTCTACCCCCCCCCCCCTTGTTATGGCTGTTGATACATAAAGTTGTTGTTGGCGTGAGTCGGAAGTTCGGGGCCACGGCTGCACTGCATTAGCCTCATAGTGACGCCGGTCATCCACTCCTACAAGAAGCCACTGGGAGCTCGACCTGCGGGGGCAGCATTACTAACTTTAGGTCGCCAGCTCGCGCGGGAGCCTTGGAAGGCTCGACCTGCAAGGGCGTCCATGCAGTCTGTTGGCCGCCGGCTCCGGTGGGAGCCACGAAGAGATTGACTTGTAGAGGTGACCTCGCGAAGCGGGGATGATGAGGCCTCGTCATAGCTTATTGCTATTGAGGATGAGTTGAGGTTGTTTTGCTACTGTCTACATCAAGCTTCTCCCATGCACAGATCTAGAAATTCATGCTTCATCTCATAGAATTGCCACGCTTCAATCCCAACAGGAACCGCTGATGGATCTATCGCGGGGAGAGGGGCGTTCACATGCGATAGCGGTGTATTTATCTGGGGGACTGGGAATGTTGGGTTCAGCTTGGACTTGTCTGATTGTCACAGGGGAGTTCTCAAGGTTCATCACAAATGTTCTTGCCCCCCAGTAATTGATATTCGTTCTGGATGTTAGTGCTGCGCAAAAATGCTTTTTAGTTCATAAAAAATGGAAATTAGAGAGCGAGAACTTAGATGTTTAAAAGGCAAGATCTTAGCTTTCTGGAAGATGAGGACTTAGCTTTTTAGAAGGTGAGAACTTAGCTTCTTGTAGTGTTTCCCACAGATGGCGCCAATTGATGAAGGGTTTTTTGGCAACACCCTGTTGTTTGGACTACTTCTAGGTGATCGATAAATCAGAGGCCGAAGTGGAGGATTTTTGCCGGATGAGGACTTTGATGCCGAGCTGACTAGGCCAAACTGGGGGTAGATTGGGGGTCGAGCTAGGTTGATTGCCGAGCTTAGTAGCTCTTCAGAGAAACCTGCAAGGAATCAATGTTAGAGGACCTAGGGTGGCTAACCCGGTGAGGTCACTCCGTTGATTAAGTTAGTAATCTCGTAGTAGATCGCGGGATAAAAAATCAGAAAGTATGAGAGCTAGAATGTGCTTACTCGCCTCCTCCCTGTGTCATTGGGGTTGGTGCCTTTATATAGGCATTGTTTGGTGTGGGTTTCACGCACCGCATCCGAGATTTCTGGGAGGTCACCTAACCGGTCCGAGATCCCCGGAGATAACCACCATGCACATTGACCACCCTCCGGAATGTTTGGTACGTGGGCCAACTTCCGTGAAATGTGGGAGTGTCGGGATATGCATGCCGAATTTGTCGGCAAGCATGTCTCACATGTGGTCATCTGGACCTCAATCAGGCTGGCATGCCCTCGAGGGAGGTCACTCCTCGCATCGAGGTCACTTCGGCCTGTGACAAGGTGCTACAGGTCGGCCCTGGACGATGTGCTTCTAGCCGACCTAAGTTGTGGTCGAGGTCGCCAGGTTGGCGATGAAGGCAGGTTGCCAAGTCGGGGCGAAGAGAAACCGTGATCTAGGACTCCAAGTCATCGCTTAGGTGGTCTCCATGTGTCATCCAGCTGTTCCAAGATGCCATGTGTCACAATGTCATTGGAAGGCCAAATCCGCCCTCATCAGGCTACTTTTTCTATTTCCAAGTTTTCCATGAAAGCATGAAGAGCTCGATCAAGAATTGTTTGAGGGGGGATCGCAATGTCATTAAAAATTTTTTGATTTCAATTTTTCTAAATAGCCCACAAAATGAATGTGATTTTTTCTTTAACTAGGAGATTTTAGTTTCCCTTTTTTTTTTTCGAATGTCTGACCCACCAGTCAAGTAGAGTTTGATCACTATCCTTAGGGCCTTCTAACGGGTCACTAAGAATAGTCCAAATTTGACATGTGTAAGGACAGAATTTGAAAATATGGTCTCTATCTTCCTCCTCGTTGCAATAGTTACATGATCCATCTATATTAAAACCTCTTTTCCTAAGGCTCGGTTTAAAAAGAATACAAATACAAATATGTACAGTGCAAATTCATACAAAGTAATACAAAAGATAAGATCTCACACTCTATATGTTTGTATTTGTATTCCTTCCAAACTGAGCTTAAGCTGCATTTTTTAAGGGAGTTTATTTTGGAAGAAAAAAAAAAAGAGAAAGGTTTTGAACATTGGTGGGCTCTTAATGTTCCAAATGATGTTAAGCCAATTTGTAGTGTTATTAGCCCCTAAAATAGATGATCATTTCAGAAAATAAGCTGATTTAATAGTAAATGTTTCAGTAGAGTTTCCCTCTCATATAATTCTATCTTCAATCTGGTTAGGAGAAATAAATATGGATTTGATTTTTTTCTAGGAATAATTGCTCAAATTCTGGGTTCATACCAGCACTCCCTCTCTAATTCAATCATATCCGAAACCATAATATTGTCATTTTCTCCTCATTTTCATTAGAAATTAATTCTGAGAAAGGTTTGTGGATTACCCATTTGTCATTCCAGAATCTAATAGTTCGGCCATTACCAACTTGGCTCCTAATGCCTTTTTTCAGTAAATCTCCGAAGTGGAGGATACGTCTCCCTGCCCATGAGGTACCCTTTTTTAAATTAATATCCCAAGAAGAATTTCCTTTCATATATTTACTAAATTGATCACAATATATAGACTAACCGATGTTGGTGGTAGATTATTATTTTACCCTTTGTCTTGTTGTAAATGGAAAATAAAGCAAAATTTTGATTGAAAAACAGAAAAAATATATCTCAAATATTTTAGTCTAAAAGGTTTTCTACCCATTTTACATATTTAAGTAAAAAAGGAGCTTCAAATTTAAAGAAAAAAAAAAAGAAAAAAAGAACGCTTTTGATTCAATCAAACTCATCTAATGCTCCATGTCAACTTGCACAACACAATTGTCACTTTTTATCCTTTTTAATTTCAAATGCAACAAGAACAAAGATCAAGAAGACATCTATGGTCAAGAAGAGGATGCGTGGCCCTATTGGACTCAACGTCTACTTCTATCAGATGTCTGGTAGAACAAAGGTGTATTGAATAAAAAAAAAGGCCAACATAAAAACATGTTTAGTAAGGCTGATATGCCATTCAGGGGTAATTTGATCATAAAAGTTGCATTTATGCTGATGTACACAACTTCTGTCAATAAAATGTTTTAACGGATTGCTCTAAGGGATTGTGAGTTTGAGAAAATAAAAAGTCACTAACATCGGAATACCTGAAAGGTTTGAAATTATGATGAATTTTAGACAATTTCTCTTTAATTTTTTATTATTGAATTGCTATTTTAAGTCCTCTAATTTTCTTTTTAATTTAAAAGTTGGCCGTGGAATACAAGTCATTCATGTAGAGCAAGATTCAAGTTGTTGGGTCAAAAAATTTTTCCATCAAGCAGCATCGGGTGAGTGAGATATAGTATATTGGATGAAGTCGGATTTAGTCCTCACACTCTTTTCACAGCTTCTTCCAGCCGTGTATTGAGAACGTCTCTGCATAAATTAAATATATATATACAAGCATAGGATGTTCTTAATGCACGGCCACAAAAGGCTGTAAAGACTGTGTGGAAATGGTTTTGGGAGGATTAAATCTGAATTCATATTGGGTTAGGGATAAGACGGGCAATGTGCCTATATGTATTTGATCTAGTGATTTCATTCTTAATAAATTTTTTATACTTTGGAGCTAAAAGAAAATATCCACAGTTCTTAATTTACAGTCAGATTAATTATTTTATTTTCGGATGAATCTACAACCAGAACACACGGCGAGCTCGTTTCTAGTCAAGAATCTCCCTTCAATCTTTCTCTTGTGAAGAACAATTCAATGACTCCTTTGATCGATCCTGCAAATACTGTGCTGCTGGAAATTTCTAGACTTGACCCAACTAGCAAACCCAAGATTGTATATATATATATATATATATATATATATAACGGTGCTAGCAATAGCATTCCCTATTTGTTTATACTTCAAATTTGGATCTGGTGCAAAATTTGCACCCGGCCATTTCAGTTTTACATTCATTTATTTGTGATTATGATCGACAAGAATGAAGAATCTGTACTGTTTTTGCTTCGTAAAACACCATTTTCCCTTCAGCTCAATTCTGTGGTATAAAATGGGGACCACGTCATGTTGTTTCGTGCCGGCTGAGAGGCTGGCTCCTAATCAAATATCTCTCTCCTCCCGTCTCCATCTTCTTTCGTACGAAGCGGGGACCCGTTTAATTATATATCCTATATTTTACTTTTCACAAACAATAAGACAAAAATCAAATGTGAAGAGAATCAAATCAGAATTCACACTAATTTGTATTCCCATGCATTTACACTTTACAGCAGGGCAAATGAAATTGGCTTACGGCAGGGCAGCCAGACAGTAGGTGCAGTCCAGTACTTGGGAAGACTTTTCAAAAGTGGCAGCCCATCAGTTTTGGTATTGTGCATGATGTAAAGTAGGTATCTAGTCAGTGGTCACAATGCAATGCACAATTTGCGCAGTTTGTAATTCGATTCAATCGATCATTGATGAAACATGTCTATATAAAGAAAGAGCAGGCCAGGGAGTTGTCAAGCCCAGAGAGAGAGAGAGAGAGATATCTAGTTACTATTCGGAATTTGTAGGAAAGATTAGATAGTCAATCGCCGGTGAATTAGCAGCTATTAACGGTGGGGGGCATGGCTAGCTACGGAGTTATGAAGTTGAGCTTGACAGTGGCGGTATTGAGCATGATAATCAGTAGTGGTCCTTATGTACATGTGGATGCAGCTATATCATGTGGTCAGTTAGCCAGCCTTCTATCCCCCTGCGTCAACTACTTCGTCAAGGGTGGACCTTTGCCCCCGGCATGTTGCAGCGGTGTAAGAACTTTAAACTCCGCTGCTAAGACAACGGCGGACCGTCAGGCCACATGTCAATGCTTGAAATCTGCGGCAGCTAGTATCCCTGGTCTCAATCTCGGTCTTGCTAACTCCATCCCCGGCAAATGTGGAGTAAACTTCCCTTACAAGATCAGTCCCTCTACTGATTGCTCCAGGTTATTAGTTTAATTGCCTTCTTCCTCCGTCTTCGTCTAATCGTCTTGGCCGGCTTGGCCACAGTTTTTAATTGGTTCTAACTACTTTTTAATTATATTGCAGGGTGAGATGAACTTAATTAGATGGACGCAAAATCAGGAGTAGTCCGGACTGAATAAATAAATGACAAGCAGAAAGACCGAGATTGTCATAAATAAATGACAAGCAGGAGCTAGTTTTTTTTTTTTTTTTTAATGTGTTGCCTTGTTTCTTTTTGTATGGAATAATCTTTGTTTTGTGTGAACAATTCTGTTAAGCTTTTCTTAAGCGGGGGCCATGGTATTATTTTTATATGAAATAATTGGATGGGTATCCTTATTCCATTCTTAATTCTTCTTTGCTGTTAGCCTAGGCAAATAGTCCATTGAGAACAATCGTCCATAAAATTTGGTTGTCTGGACAAGACACAGGATACATGTACACTTGTAAAAAGGAACAGATCCTTGCTAACAGAGACAGAGTCTCTCGGTCTATGATAGTCTGTGTATTTGGGGATAAAGCAATAGCTATCTATTCCCACTAGCTTCATATCCTGACGCCAAAATAAAAAATAAAGAAACAAGCTAGATTGGATGAAACTTCCCCTTCCAACGCATAATCTAATCTTTACTGCAGTAGTAGCAATGTGAACTTCTTTTATATATCTGTCAAAAGAAAAACAAAAACAGAACAAGGAAAACAATAGAAAATGAGGTAAATTTAGAAACTTCGTCAGTTCGGGTCATTTATGAAATTTTGTAACTTCTGTCCTCAGCCTCTTGAAATTATTTAAAACAAAATTTTAATACAGCTGTCATAATGTTTATTGAACACTGACCGAATGTACTCACAATGCCTGATATTAGCCAAAAGGAGAGATTAAAACGGGCATTTTCTTCTTCTTCCTATCTTTTCCCTCAAACCAAACACTCCCTTAAATTTATTAACGAAGGTGAACTACAGGATACAGCCAACCCATACCAGCCGAAAAGATATTAACGAGGGAAACTAGTACCACGAACTGGTACGATTCGCGGGCAGACTGCCAGTGCCAGTGGACCCCAATGGGCCCTATCCAAGGCGTGCATATTCTTAATTCCTAGGGAGAATGACCTATCAGCCCAGATCAGAATTTTATAATCCCATATTACAGGGGGAATGCATCCTGAATGTGGTTTATAGGGGGGAGAGGGCTAGTAGCAGGGGAGTGTCTGAAATTCAGAATTCTGCATTGGATGTATTCATACTTCTCCCTAATTTCTATAGCTATCAATCCAGTCCATTCCAAGAAAGACCAGATCTGTTCCTTACAGAAGGTGCCTCACACACACCTCACAAGCACATCCTAATATGCGTTAGAAACATCTCCCCTACTTTTAAGTTATTATTCACAGGAGATGTTCCCAATGCATAGTCGATGTGCATGTGAGGCGTCCGAGTGTGAAGAGCAGATCCCATCACACTCCAAGCACCGTTGACGGGGTCTAATGCAGAGGGTCAAACATGCTTGTTTTTTTTTTTAATAGGGCTGCTTATGAACTACCAATCTATCATATAATGCATATAAATATAGCATAGTAGTAAAAAATGAGAACTGTCCAAAGATCCTCTTGTAATGAAAAATTTACTTAATCAATGTTGGGTCCATTTGATTTCGTAGTTGAAACCAAAATCGGAATCCAAATGATCTATTTTCATAGTCTGTTTGGTTCAAATAAGAATAGAAATGGGAATTAAAATCAGTAGGAATAAGATCTCATTCTCAAATGAGAGGCAAGGAATGGCCATTCCTTTAAATGGAATGTCATTCCAGCAGGAATGAGAATGGAATTCTGATTCCGCCCAACCAAACAGCTTGAATCAGAATAGCCCGTTCCGATTCCAATTCCAAACCCTTATTTCCATGAACCAAACGGAGTCTAGCTTTCTGAGTTCTTTTGGCAAAAAAAAAACAAAAAATGCAGAGGGTCAAAGTCAGGAATAAGACCGTTAAGACGTCTGAGTTGTGAATTTGTGATAAAGAAATAAGCACTTTTATAGCCACTAGCCCGTCGTCACTCGTCAAAGAGGGACGGAATTATGCGAGGAAACTGAAATGGTGTCCACAAATTTAAAAAAAAAAAAAGGGCCGGCCAATTTAATTCCGGACAATGAAGATTTAAGACGACGACGACGACTCATTTTCATCTACCGAAGGCAGTGTGGCTTTGGTGTGTTTCAACACATTCTCAAACGAGCAATGGCCAAACATGTTGTTTAGGCTCAGTTTGGAAAGAGTACAAATGCAAATATGTACATTATAAATACATACAACATAATATAGAATACAAAGTTTAAATTCTACATATTTGTATTTGTACTGCTTCTAAACTAAGCCTTAAGCTCAATCTGAAAGGAATATAAATACAGGTTTTGCACTCTATTTGTATTCCTTTCAAATGGAGCTATACATATTTGTATTTGTACTCCTTCCAAACAGAGCCTTAGGGGTGTGATTTGTTCTAAAATGAACTGCGGTTGGTTCTAGAATACAAAATGTTGTGCCGGTCAAGCTACACCTCTCATCTATGTCATTTTTTATTTACTGTTTCTCACGGCCCTATTATTTATACCATTTTTTATTGATCATTGTAGACTTTTGTAATTTGATTTATTTTTATTAAATGTACTGAACTTATAATTTATATATATAGTTAAAGAAAAAACAAAGAACAGTTCTCAACAATGCAAGGAACTTGTATTTCTTGCATATGTTGACCAAGGAGATTCGGGTACAATATATACACAAAAGGAATGAAATAATAAGGGAAAGAAAGAAAAGAATATGCAGTTGCATATGTACAAGTTCTCTTCCTATTTCAGCTATTTCTAAATTTGAGTGAGAATCTCTATTGGTAACTTACACTTTTGTAGAGTTACCATTTATATCCTTTCTGGGCTAGAAGCACATGATGGAGGCCCATCCCAAGGCCCATCTCACCCCTAGGGGCGGCAGTTCCTAGGATAAGGTCAAGAGTCCAAGATAAATCAAGAAAGGATAATTCAAGATCCATCAAGACTTAATCCAAGACTCTTCCAAGACTTATCAAGACTCTTCCAAGATTATCAAGAAATCTAGATCAGAATTCCAACAAGACTCCAAGAAGCATCAAGATTAGCAAGATAATCCAAGATTCATGCATCAAGGGAGATCGGACGGTGGAAGCTCAAACCAAGAAGAGTTCGACCCTATCAGATTAGATATTTGGATCTATCCTAGTTGTTATTTCCTAGTTCTTTTACAATTTCTAAATGTATTATAAATATTGCTATTCTCCCAAAATTATTCATCAATTCATACTTCATAATTTCAGAGTTTCTTCAAGTTCTCTTCTTCCAATTTTCGCCACCTTTTCTCTCTCCTAGAGAATTCGGTGTTCTTCGCTAGAAGCTAGCGACCGTCCGGTGCTTGCATAGCCAGCCTGGTTTCCATTGCTTCCACGTTGCGTCAGATGGTATCAGAGCAGGGAATTCGCCCAGTCATGTCCAACCCAGACGGTAGCAGTCGCAACCCACCCCGTGACGGAGATCATCGGTTCCCAGCTGTTTGGAGAGCGATTGAAGAACAGTGCACGGCCACACGTAACATCGAACAACAGTTGGCAGAGGTGACTGAGCAACTGCGAACCTTGTTACGGGAGATTGTCCCACGGAACTGGGAAAATCCACAGCAGATCGAAGGAGACAACCACGACAGACCACCCGTCGCTACTGCGTCCCGACGTCCAGTTCTTGACGACGACAGTGATGATGATTTCGAATTTGGTGGTGCTCCAGTTCTTCCCGGCAACGACAGAAATGGCAAAAATTGGCACAATCAAGGTAATTTCAATCCCTGTAGGAATAATGATGAATTCAAACTTAAAGTAGATATTCCTACATTTAGTGGAGATCTTGGCATAGAAGGACTTCTGGATTGGATCATAGAAGTCGACAGATTCTTTGATTACATGGAAATACCAGAGGAACGAATGGTAAAACTGGTAACTTTCTGATTAAAGGGAGGCGCATCTGTTTGGTGGGAACGGATGAGAGAGACCCGGATCAGAGAAGGAAGGGGTCCTATTCGAACCTGGAGGCGCATGAAGCAGTTAATCAGAGATAGATTTTTACCTCCTGACTATGAACAATATATGTTTGAATCTTATCAGCGGTGTGCGCAGGGTTCACGTAGTGTTAATGAGTACACATTAGAATTTTTAAGATTAGCAGAAAGAAACCAGTTGTTTGAAAGTGATAACCAGCAGGCAGCCCGATATTTGAGCGGGTTAAGACCGACCATCAGGGACAAAATTGGTGTACAAATGGTTCTTAGTGTGCAGGAAACAAGGAACCTAGCCTTGAAAGCAGAATTAATGTTCCAAGACAAGGCACGCAGTGATAGTTACCGCCGATACAGCCAGAGCGACAACAGACGGGCAATTGTCGACAGGAACAAATCAGTCCCGGCAGTGCAACCCTCTCACCTGACAAGCACACGCCGGTAAGGCTACTACAGGAGGACATACTCGAGGTAACCCTTCCAACCCTCCTAAACCCAGTAACCCTTATGCAAGGCCTGCTCCTATTAAATGTTTTAAATGTAATGAGGTTGGACATAGATCCAGTGACTGTCCCARGAGGAAGGCAGTTAATATGGTAGAAAGGGAGGAAGAAGAAGATATTGAGGATGATGTATACTGTGGGCCTGATGGGGAGAATGAAGAGGGTCCATATGAACATGAGGAGTATACTTGTGTGGTAAGAAAATTAATGTTGTCCCAGAAAAATAAGGATACTTCTCAAAAGCACAGATTATTTCGTACCAGATGTACTGTCAAGGGAAAATTATTTAATTTAATTATTGATAGGGGCAGCCAGGAAAATATTATTTGCAGGGATGTCATCCAACAATTACAGCTGATCCCTGAAAAACATCCCAACCCATACCCAATTTGGTGGATCAAGGAAGGAGGCGATGTACGAGTGGAAGAACGCTGCAAGGTACCTTTTTCGATTGGTAAGTACCATGATAAAGTATATTGTGATATTGTTGATATGGATGCTTGCCATATTTTGTTAGGGACGCATTGGCAGTTTGATACAGATGCAAGGCACATGGGTAGGAAGAATACCTACCAACTTGAAAAAGAAGGTACACGTTATACTTTGTTACCCATAGCTGAAAGAAATATTACAAATGCTCCAAAAACACATGAGAAGAATTTTCTTACCATCACCCATCATCATGCTAAATTTGTTAAAGAATGTAAGGATACTCATGAAACACATTTGCTAGTAGTAAAATGAGAAGATGTTAATGATGAAAATAA